GTAGTTTAGAAATGAGAGGGTGGGAAGAGAGTTGGTAGATTTTAAAAAAGTATCGGTCCGAAAGATATTGCCTTCTTAGATAAAGGGGAGGGTCCACACATTCAACTTGGAGAGCATTTATTGGGGAAGATTTCATTGCCCCGATGATTATACGAAGGCTTTTGGATTGAATCCTGTCTAGGATCTTTAGGGAAGACTTATTGCACGGTTCCAAAACAAAACATCCATAATCTAAATGACTACGGATAAGGGCGTTGTACAGTATTTTTTGGGAGAATGGGTGGGAGCCCCACCAGACACCCGATAAAGCGCGAAGAATGTTTATATTTTTTTCACATTTTTTGGAGACATAGTTGATGTGATGAGAAAAGGCTAGTTTGGAGTCGAGAATAACTCCTAAAAATTTTACACTCTCCCTAATTGGGATAGGTTCATTATTATAGAGAATGTTGATTTCAGGGACTTGCCTATGGCGAGAGAAGATTACAACACTGCTTTTGGGAACAGACAAAGACAAACCATGATCAGTTAACCAATCCTGTAAATAAGACATTGATATATTCAAGCGAGAACATGCTGCAAGGAGGTTATCTAGGGAAATATATATAGCTATATCGTCTGCATATTGGAGGATGTTACAGAAGGAGTTAACAGAAAGTTCTAAATCATAAGTATAGATAGAATAGAGTAAAGGACTAAGTACTGAGCCTTGTGGGAGACCCTTCCATACAATTCTTGGCGGGAGTAGAGAATTTTGACTGTCAATATAAATGGATCTAGAAGAGAGAAAGTTAGAGACAAAATTTACTATCCTCACTGGAATACTCAGATTAAGCATTTTTTGCCTGAGCACAGGAAGAAGTACATTGTCATATGCAGACGAGATATCTAGGAAGACTCCAACAAGGTATTCATGTTTAGAGTAAGCTATACGAATATCAGTAACTAGAGTACTAATGCTATCCATGGTGCTTAAGCCCTTTCGGAATCCAAATTGGCTTTTTGCTAAAAGATTTTTGCTTTCAAGAAACCATTCTAAACGATTTTTTATTAGGTGTTCAAGGATTTTGGCCATGGTGCAAGAAAGAGCAATAGGGCGGTAGCTTGCGGGATCAGTGTAGGGCTTACCTGGTTTGTGAATAGGTAAGATAACTTGGGATTTCCACTCTTCAGGAGGAATACCGGACATGTAAATATAATTCAAAATAGAAAGAAGATGGGCTTTAGTAGATTCACTGCTATTAGTAATAAAAGAATAAGGGATTCCATCGATTCCTGGTGAAGAGTCTTTAAGGACATTAAGAACAGAATATAACTCCTCATAAGAGAAAGGAGAGTCAAAACTGTGTTGATAGTGCAGGGACTGTGATTGGAATACTATACATTCATTGTAAGATGGTACTGAAGGAGGAGCAAGTTTACTAGCAAAATTTTCTAGCCAATAAGACTGATCATTAGAATTTGTGTTTTCAGGGGCCGAAACTGAACATCGGAATTTTTTTATATTTTTCCAGACCAGTGATGGATGAGTCCTAGGCGACAGTGACTCACAGAATTTAAGCCATCCAGCCTTTTTCTTTTCAGACAGTAATTTTAATGTTTCAGCAGCAGTTTTTTTATAAAAAATATAGTTATCAAAATTCATTGAGCGGGAATATCTTAGTTCAGCTTCCTTTCTCTTCTTGCATGCTACAGAACAATCTTGATCCCACCAAGGCGGTGAAGGAGCATTATTTTTATAAGGTTTTTTAATGGGAATTGTCTTATTTGCAGCAGATAAAATAGCATTTTTGAAAGTAGAATACACCTGAAGAACATTCTCTTTCTGAACCGTAGGGAGGGATGAAAGTTCTTCATCTAGAACTGTGGAATACAGATGCCAGTTTGCTTTGGATGTGTTATATTTTAACCTAGGTTTGAATGGAACATTGACTGTATAGGAGTTAGGAGGATTGATAACAATAGGAAAGTGATCACTGCCATGGGAAATGGGTAATATTCTCCAAGAAAGAAGGGATGACAGGGCAGGAGAACAGAGTGACAGATCTACTGCACTTTTAGGATTTTGGAGGGGGGAAACTCTACGTGTAGGTGAACCATCGTTAAGGAGGCAGAGATCTAAATCATCAATGATGTCTAAGAATGTAAAAGACCAGGGATCACAAAAATGGGAACCCCATAAAGTATGGTGCATATTAAAATCACCAAGAATTACCATAGGAGGAGGGATGGAGGATATAATCCTCGTAAGTTCCGATAAGATATTTAGATTAGGTTCGGGAATGTAAATAGAAAGGAAAGAAATGTTATGAGCTCTAACTGCAACAGCATTAATTGAAGGACTATGAGAAGGAAGGGAAATTAATGTATAAGTAATTGATTTTGAGATAAGAATGAAAGAGCCAGCATGACCATCACTTCTATCATCCCTGAGACATGAATAGCCTGAGACCCTAAAATGGGAGCCAGGCTTTAGCCATGTCTCCTGGATGGCTAGGATAAGGGGATGGTATTTATTAATAAGATATGTTAGTTCGTTTTTCTTATTTTTAATGCTCCGGCAGTTCCACTGAAGTATTGGAGGGAAGGTTATTTGTTAAGGAAATGAGCTCAGTAAGTTTTTGGCGGAGGGCGAGTGGGAGATCCATGTCGCTGAAACGGGAAAGCATACTTATAAGCATGGAGACCATCAGTTCGCAGAGATTATCATTAGGGGAAATACTTCGCCCTATTATAGCACAACCATTAGTAGATGAAGAAGGAGGGGTATTTATTATTGCCTCATGGGCAGATTTATCATATCCATGACTAGATGCTGGATTTGGCGAAAGTCTTGGAGTGAATGTAGTCTTCCTGTAAGAATGAGATTGTGAGGGGACAACTGAAGGTAAAGGAGGGTTTGAAATAGGACAGGAAGTCTGATGCTCATATGAAGGAAGGGTTCTAGCAGTATCTGCATAGGATCTACGGACTTGAGGGAAACGAGCAGATGCTTCTAGATAGGAAATATTTTCCTGTGACATTGTGAGTTTAATAGATCGCTGCCTAGAGTGTTCAGGGCAGGAGGGATCTTTAGCTGTGTGAGATCCTGAACAAAAAAGGCAAGTGGGAGACTGTCTTGTGCATGATATACCCTCATGATTTTGAGCACACACAAAACAACGGGAAGATGATCTACACTGTGAGGTAACATGTCCAAAACGGCAACATTTGTGACATTGAATAAGTGGTAAAATGTAGGGCTCAACGGGCATTGAGTTGTAAAAACAATAAATATTAGAAGGGAGTTTCTGGCCGGAAAAAGTTAAAAGGACTGTTTGAGAGGGAATCCACACAGTGCTTTGGTTTTCATTAAGTGATTTTCTATTAAATCGGCGAGCTTTAATGATTGAGCCAAAACCAGCTGGGACCTCGATTGATGAAATGAGTTCCTCTAATGTCCATTCTACAGGGACCTGCCTCACTATTCCCATGCGAGTGATACTATAAGAAGGGATTACAGCATCATATTTAGCACCTGCAAGGGCTGGGTTCTCAATAAAGCAATTTGCATCTGCTGCACTTTTAAATTCAACTGAGATTCTATTGCGCCCTACTCGCTTAACACCGTCGCTAACAACATTTTTAATATTATTATGGTAGAGAAAATGACCAAACTTTATCGGTTTTAAAACTACTCCAGATGATAAATCATCTACTATCTTACTTACATGTACAATAAAGGGCGCACTGTCGTTATTAGAGTATTTATGTTTTTTTTCAATGTAGTCAGGATGAGTATAAGAGGTCTGAATAGATGGTACAGGTTGAGATGGATCTGTAATTAATCTTTTCTGTGGATGAACTGAGTTATTGGTTGCTTGCGATCTTTTACGATTCGACTGATCGATCTCGATAGGCATATTTTTCTTTTTGGTACCCGCATGGGAGTCACATGTAACCCCGTCGGGATCGGGAGGATCTTCCTCCATTTTATTTTAACTACTTACATATATATACAACAACACAATTACTAAATACTTACGGATTTATAACTACTAAAACCAACACCACCAGAAATAGTAAACAAAAAAGTAAATCAACAGCTCTCAGAAGTACGAAATAGCCTAAAACAGAACGACACTTGTACACCTCACACCTTGACCCCAACGACCTTTTTTTCCAGCGTAAACCTTTGTTTTTCAATAAAATATATACAAATATAATTGTTTGATTTGACATTTGAACCTATTTCATTTGACAATGTCGTTAATAGACATATCACGAAAAGCATAAAGAAGAGCAACCGTCATTAAAATTTGACCCCTGTAGTACATATAATTTTTACTATGGAAGTTGCAACAGCCTGGCTATGGATGGCATCACATTTCATTTATAAGTAATTTTACACCTGATTTATTAAAATAGTTCTAGAAAAATCTCTTTGCGTCGGCTTTCAAATATAATTAAATATATTCCACACTAGATGGCGACACTTTGTGTCCTGTGAACTAAAAATATAAAGGTACGTAGAGCTCAGTAATGATAAAATAATCATACGAAGGTGCTGAAATTTCTTTGCATTCAGACATAAAGACATTTTAATCGCCAAAGTGTTATTTTTAAAGTTTATAACATTTTGTGGACATGCCGCCATCTACCGTCAAGGTAGCTAAGCTACATTGCAACATCGATATGGATAGATTCGAGTAGTTTTACTATTTATCGGTAGATGTAGATAGTGTAGTGGGCGGGGCTTTGCAATCCCCTCATCCCGCAAATTGTCACGCGTTGTTACATAGTGAAATTTAATTACAACGTCTCCTCTTTGTACAGTGCCACCAACTTATCTGTTCAGGTGGACAAAATTGGAACTAATGCCGCCATTTTGTAAATGACATTTCGCTGTCAGTTATTATTTATTCTGAGCTATCAGGTGAATGTTTTTAAAAAGTGCAATTAAAATGCCTAAAGCTCTTAAAAGTGATGCGCGACAGATTATCCTAAAAGTTTTATCTTTTATGAAAGAAGAGAAACGTGTACAAGCCCCAACTATACCATTTGAAAAGCTGTATGAGCGCGTTACTGCCGCGACTGGTTAGTATTGCCAGATATGGAAAATTAAAATCACCAAATAATGTACTTGTAAAACATAGTAAAAAAATTATCTCAATTTACTGTAATTCGTCTAAAGTACCTAGCTTTGTAGTTTGTGGTCTGTGAAGTAGCTTTAGTGACGGCATATACACGGGCTTACATTTATTTAATTTTACCTATACAATAATTATTTGTCGTTTCGTTACAGGTGTTTCTGAGCGATTTGTACACAAACTCGTAAATGAAGAGAAACACGCTGAAGAATCCAATTCTAAAATTTCTACCCCTGGCAAAAAAAGGCAAAGAAAAACCGGGAAGCAAGAAGTTGATAATTTTGACATTGGTGTTATAAGAAGAAAAATTCACGAATTTTATTCAGTGAAAAAAGAAATCCCTACCATACCCAAATTACTGAGTATTTTAAAGGAAGATATTGATTTCAAAGGAGAACGTGAAACTCTTCGAAAATTGCTTCACAAAATAGGATTTCGTTATAAGAAAACGAAATCAAATAGAAAAGTGTTGTGCGAACGTAACGACGTAGTTGCATGGAGAGCAACCTACCTACAAAAAATTAAAGAAAATGAGCGTGGTGAAAAAAGACCTGTTATTTATTTAGACGAAACTTACATTCACTCGTCTCACTCAACTGGGAAATGTTGGCAAGGTCCTGAAGAAGATGGTGATTTGGAACCTGTTTCGAAAGGTAATAGGTGGATCATAATCCATGCAGGTGGAGAAAAAGGTTTTGTGGAGAATGCCCTTCTCGTATTTAAATCAAATACAAAATATGGGGACTACCATGATGAAATGAATAGCATTAATTTCAAAAAATGGGTATATGAAAAATTACTACCTAATCTGCATGAACCTTCGCTCATTGTAATGGATAATGCGCCATACCATAGTATTTGCGTAAATAGGTGTCCTAATTCAAACCACAGTAAGGCTGATATGCAGAAGTGGCTTGAAAAAAACAATGTAAGTTTCAATGAACAAATGACAAAACCTCAGCTTTATGAATTAATAAAGAGAAATAAACCTGCTCCGGAATACGAAATTGATAACCTGATGAAAAGTCATGGCCATGCTATTCTTAGATTGCCGCCTTATCATTGCGACTTGAATGCAATTGAAATGATATGGAGCTCTATGAAAAGGAACATAGCAGACAAAAATGTTGGAAAATCTAATGTTCTAATGCCCCAATTAATTGAAGATGCATTTAATAAAATTACACCGGTGCAGTGGAAAAACATATGCAATCATGTGAAAAAAATTGAAAATGAATACAGACTAAAAGACGCGTATTTAGATGAACCCTTTATTATAGAGTGTCAGAGCGATAGCGAAACCGATTCCAGTGATTCAGAAGATGAATTATTGGAACCAGTATCTAACGCGGGTACATCTTTCAAAACAGGAATTCCTAGAGTTCGACCGCTTGAACTCCGAGACCACGACCACAATTATTTTTATAAAATATAAATTATATATATATATATATATATATATATATATATATATAATTTATATATATATATATATATATATATATATATATATTAACACGAAATTTGTTTTATTTTATATTATGTGTAATGAATATGTAGTCACCTATTTCCTAGGTAAATTTCTTAAATGGCAATAGTAAGCACTCCACTAGCGACTCTGTCAACTGAACAGATAAGTTGGTGGCACTATATTTGCTTCATGACTAATACCCTTACTTCTTCTTCTTAATAACTGGCTTTACGGCTCTGTGATCTAGCCCTTCTGAGCCTGAAGTTACAATATTATATTATAATAATTATTCTTCATAGTATACTGCTTCACAATATGTTGATGCGTCACATTGTGCAGCCCTTGGGAGATTTTAACGGTAACTTGAGCCAGCAGACAGCTGACGGTTGGCGGTGGTATCTCAAGGTGCCTAAGCAGACAGGCACCTTATTTTGAGAATCACATCACTATCAGAGCACTTGTTTCACAGTTTCCACTAATAGTTCACATGCGCAGACACTTAATACACAAAATCGCACCACTTTTACATATCAAAGTCCACTTCAAACCATTATTTAAACAATAAAACAGGAGCTGCAAACCGCCGCCGGTCAAGTTCCTGCCAAAAACCCCACTAATACCCTTAGGCGGGTACACTCCATAGACCAACTAGTAGATTCTATCATATGTACAATGTACACAATTTTTATTTCTATTCACATTTGTATTACACTTATATATTTATCTATGATTTATTTTCCTAGTTTGGCAACTTCCAATGGATTATGCCAGCGTCAAGTATTTCATGAAAGTCACACAGAGTATTTACTAGTTTCCGTTTCCGTAGATGCGCTTACTTAACTTTATGTTACGAACTTACTTATGTAGTTATTTTCGAATGAATTAACATTATAATATTTGTACAAAATTATTGCTAATATAATAATATGGTTATAGGTAAGTGGCAAAGGTACTATAGTTTAATGTTATTAATGGATATGAAATCTAATAAAGTTTGTACAAAAGGAGTGTAAACTAAATTTATCAAAGATTTAAGATTTACAGGACGAGGGATGTTATTAGGAAGAAAATCGTATAATGAAACGGAGAGGTTAGGGCAGTTAAAAAATTTCTGATCGATCGTACCTTCGCCTAATCCACACTCACAAATTGAGCTATCTTTAATCTTAAGTTTTGCCAAAAATACAGGTGAACAAGTGTGTCCCAATCTAATTCCACATATGACAGATGTGCTATGTTTGGAGCCATTTCTAAATTTAAAATAAACCATGGTTTGGAGGGGATGTCAGGTTGGAGTTCTGCATAATATTTACCGATAGACTTCTGAGTTTTTTTCCGAAGAGCTTTTTCTCCGGAAAAAGCCGAGCGTATATCAGAGGTAAAAACAGACAAGCTATCTAGCGTGCTCAGTCCCTTTCGAAATCCAAACTGTGTTTTGGCCAAGAGACCTTTATTTTCAACAAACCATTCTAGACGATTTTTAATTAAATGCTCCATTATTTTGCACAGAGTTCATGATAGTGCTATAGGGCGGTAACGATTACCATCACTAGGATTTTTGTCTGGTTTTAAGATGGGGATAATAATTTGCATTTTCCAATCATTAGGGACTATTCCCGTAATAAATATGTCATTAATTAATCTAGAAAAATTTGCTTAGATTTTGATCCTGCGTTAGAAATAAATTAGTATGGAATTCCGTCTAATCCTGGGGACGAATCTTTAAGGTGTTGAACAACCAATTCAAATTCTTCATTGTAGAAAAGTTCATTAAAACGTGAATTATTAATGTTTTCTCCAGGTTGGGTTATCAATGGTTCACTATAACATAATTCCTCAAAGGAGGGAACCCAAGAAGGGGCAAGGTTATCGGCAAATAAATTGTACCAAATAGAGGAATCACATTGCGGTGAATAATTATCAACGTTATATGATCCGCGGAATTCCTTTATATTCTTCCATAATACATTAAGCAGGAGAGTGGGGTGAAAGATTTTCACAAAACCTAAGCCAACCCGTCTTTTTTTTTATGTGCTAACAGTTTTAATGTATGAGCAGCTATTTTTTTATAATTTAAAAAGTTTTCAATAGACATATTGGAGGAGTATAGACGTTCAGCTTGTTTTCGTTTTTTAACACTGAGTGTGCATTCCTCATACCACCATGGGGGAGAACAAATTTTGGTAGGAGGCGAAATTTTTCATGTGAAACATGAGTCTGCGGTGAGTAAAAGATACTTAACAAAGTTTTTGTAGTTTGTCTCTATATCATTAGAGTCACTGTTATAAAATTTAGAGAGTACCGAATCTGATAACGATGAGAATTTAGCCCAGTCCGCTCCTTTTCAATTATATTTTAACTGCGCAGAAAAAACTCTGATTGGTATTGAGCAGTTGGCTAATGAAAGTAATATTGGGTAATGATCACTACCATATGAGTGAGATAAAACTTTCCAATTAATACGTGATGTAAGATTTGGGGTACATAAAGTTAGATCAACAACACTTTTAGGATTTTGAGATGGATATACTCTCCTTGTTGGTGATTCATCATTTAAAATGCAAATATTAAATTCATCAAACAATTCCATTAAGAGATAGCCAAAAGTATCATTTCTGCATGAGCCCTACGAGACATGGTGAGCATTAAAATCACCTAGTAATATAAAAGGAGGAGTAATAGATGAAATTATTAAGTTTAATTCAGTGATCAGTGATGGATGTGGGTGAGGAATATAGAAAGACAGGTATGTGATATCATTACATTTGCAAGCTACAACGTTTAATTCCTCACTATGTTGAGGAAGTGAAACCTTGATAAATGAATGTAATCTATTAACTAGGATTACAGCAACGGCGTAACCATCTTTCCTGTCTTCGCGAAGGCAGGCAAAACCAGGAATACGGAAGTGAGATTTCGGCTGAAGCTAAATTTCTCATAATGCTACAAGAAACGGGTTGTATTTGTTGATAAGATAGATTAAATCGCCTTTTTTATGTTTAATACTGCGACAGTTCCATTGAAGAATCGTAGCCATGCTTATTTAAATTATTTAAGAGCATCGATAGTTTCTCAAGAGACTGGGTTAAATTTTGAGGTAAACAGTGGTCGTCAAATTTCGAAATGATACACATAAGTGTGGATATAAGTAAGTCTATTAAATTCTCATTTGGAGAAGTATGGTTTTACTCATTATCTTTAGGGTAAGCATTTCCATTAGGAAGAGAACTTCTTGGGGTCTGGATCATGGATTCATGGGCTGTATGGTCATACCCATGATCGGATGCTGGAGAACGTGGTTTCCTATTTATATAGAAAGTTTTTTTTATATGAATTCTTATTACTCGTATTATGAGATGGATTTAAAGGAGTTTTGCTTGCAATGTCGGAATAGGCTCGTTTGGATGGGCGGACTCTTATAGATGCTTCATCATAAGAGATATGTTCTTGGGACATAATTACTTTAATAGATTTTTGTCTATTAAATTCTGGACAGGATGAACTAATAGCTGCATGATTACCAGTACAGTGAAGTCATGTGACCGAGGTAACTTCAGATGATTCTCCATCATGTGGTTGTCCACATTTATAACAACGAGGCTTAGATCTGCATTTAGACTTAACATGACCGAAACGACAGCAGTTATAACATTGTATTGTAGGTAAGAGGTAAGGTTCTACAGGATATGACGTGAAATAGGCAAAAACATGTGAGGGCAGTAATTTACCGGAGAACGTAATAACAATCGTTTGTGTTGGAATCCACTCAACAGAGTTATCTGCTTTAATAACTTTACGGTTTAGACGACGAGCGCGAATTATTTCCGTAGAAGAAGCAACTTCTGATGCAGAAACGAATTCATCCATACCTATATCGATTGGAACACCTCTAATGATACACATTCTCGTAATAGCATAGGTAGGAATTACGGCTACAAAATTTGCTTTAGCAAGTAATGGACTTATAACAAAATCGTTAGCTAGTTGGGGGGAACAAAACTCAATAGAAATACGATTGCGTCCTATGCTCTTAACACCATTTTTTAAAATTCCCTGAATATTGTTTTGGTACAGAAATGGACCTACTTTAATTGGCTTAATTCTAGTTCCGGAGGAGGGCTCCACGCACGGTTTCATAATGTGAAGCGAAATAACGGCGAACTGTGTTTTATTATTAGTGTGATTTTAGATTGTAATTAGTGTTGTGTAATTAAAGTGTCAATTTTGGTAATTCAATCGGCAGTTTTTAATTGTCTCGAACTCCAAGCTCGTAACAATTGGTGTCAGAAGTGGTATCAAATATGCCAATTTTACCTAAAGACGACACGGAGGGTATCTTAAAAGGGTTAAGGGTATATTAAAAGTGGTAGAGCCACGCGGCAGTTTTTGCTGTCGCACGGACGGGCCGGCTCGAACCGGGGTGGTACCACGACCTCACAGAAAACCAGCGTGAAGTAGAGGTTTACCTCTGCGTTTCGCTTGGTGAGTGCAGGTGGCCGGAGGCCCTTTTTACTGGAAATGAGGCATTCCATCTTAGTCCTCACGGGTGACAACGCATCTACATTTTGATTTGTAATAGAGGATAGATGTAGATGTCTATGGGCCGCAGCAACCAATTACCATCAGGTGGACTGTGCGCTCGTTTGTCACCCTTATCCTATAAAAAAAAATCCGTACCCGAAGTCAACGCCAACAGGAGACGGACCAGAGACGATTTGGTAATGCAACGCCGCAAACGTCGGAGGGCCAGCTGCTAACCACGGCCCGTCAGCAGCTCCTGCATCTGTAGCACCTGACTTAGGTGCTCTGATGATGATGCTGCAGGATCAGGCTCGCCGACAGGAGGAACAGGCCCGCCGACAGGAGGAACAGGCCCGCCGACAGGAGGAACAGGCCCGCCGACAGGAGGAACAGACCCGTCGGTTGGAAGAGCAGCTGCAGCGCGGTATGGAAGAACAGATGCT